CAGCTTCACGTCCGATCGAATCGAGAAGCGGCAAGAGACCAATGAGGAAGACGCATCGAGATGGGCTGCTGATGCGAAGCAAGTCAGGGAATAACTAAAACCTTAGACAGTCACACAAACACCAGGGGTGGGAGGAAGAGTAAGTAAGTAGTAGGTAGTTACTCCCAAACCCCCGAATCAGATTCTCCTCAGTTCCCTGCCTATCGGAACAGTGGGAAATGATAATAATAATAATAATTCAGGGAAAAGCAGCGGAGATCGGTGGAAGATAAAGTGGACAGACTGTGGACAGAACAGAATGAATCCACGCTGAGATGGGGAAAAATTAAAAATAAAAAGGAGGGGAAAGCAATGAAGCGTGAGCAGCTGAAAAGAGACGGACGAAAGAGTGGAAACGACTAGCAATTCACTGGTCGGCCGGGACTTAATTACTATCACCAAATCAATCAATAATATGGCGGTTCCCTCAATATATAAGGAAGTACTGCTTTTTCCTGTATTCCAGGAATCGGAGAATTAATAGAGGAAATGGAATAGGTAGAGATGGGTGGTGGATGTCAGTTGCGAGACATGGGGGGGCATTCATTGTATTCGCCGCAGTAGCAGCAGTAGCAGCAGCAGTAGCAGCAGTAAGTACTTGTGGTTAGAGCAGGACTAAAGTACTAAAGTCCTTAACTATCCACACCAAGTGGGAAAGGAAGAAAGAGAAGAAAGATGAACGATTGGATCGCAGGGACAAACCAGCCGGGCAAGTGGCGGGGCGGGCCAATTGACCCCGGGAGGCCAGAAGATTCCGGGATGATGTGTCAAGCTGGTCGGTGTGATGGATCGAAAAGGAATGTTAATTAAATGAGAGGAGAGGAAAGGGAATTGATAAAAAAGAACAATGGAGGCATCAGATGGACCAGTCAGTCTTCGGGGAGATTCTGGTGGTGGAAGATTTGTGCAAACAGTATCTATGGAGTAGTGTAGAAAGTAATTGGGAATTGATATTTGTTGTCAAAAGTTATAAATAAAAGCAGTTGATACTACTTACTATCACTACTACTTAATTACTGATATACTCCCCCCCCATATTTAATTACTACTCAATATGTATCTAGAACAGGTACCAGGTACCGCACGCTCCAGCCCGCGTCTGCAGCATGTCGGGGTACTGGTGACCCCCTCTTCTCTTCATCATTTTCTCCATGGCAGTTAAATCCACTTGATGTTTTTTGACATCAACGATTCATTCCTCTGATCAATTGTATTCTCCTGGTCCACAATAGATTTCTATCTATCCTACTCTCCCTTATCAATCATCACCATCTTTAATATCATCACCACCCAGTGATCGGCCATCCGCAATCACCGAAATGGACCCCCAAAGGGGCGGCGCTTCGCTCCGTCGGCGTCTGAGATTTGCCCACGTTGGGGAATCCTTTCTCCCATCATTCCTCTCTCCCCCCCCCCTTACTCCGAGTCAGTGCTTGAAAAACTCGAGTCGCAACTTCTGTCAGATAAACTTCGTCCACATTCTTATACCCTGTTCTTTCACTCTCATCCCCAAACTGCCTCGGTGTTTTGTCCGTTCCGCCAGGCCACACCACACAGCTCGCCTCACACTGCCCCTGTAACGCCCCTCTCGGGTCCAGTCGCATTTCCATCTACTTGACGCGGACTCAAAAAAACATTTTTGCGAAAGGATACATTCAGACACCCACCTTTTGGTGGTAGGAGAATCGGGTTAGCCGACTAGCTTCAGGGTCAAAATTCGCTCGTTACACAACCATTGACCCTTGTCTCTCTCTGTTTGTTACTACTGGACCCGCCGTCGCGTGCGCATCCCCGACACCGATCTATCTACCCGCACTCCCTCACCATGGCCGACGCCACCGACAAGATCTCCATCACCATCTGCGGCGATGGTGGATGCGGTATGCTGTGCAACCCCATCTCTTGAAGCCTCATGTTTCTTTCGTCATTCCGGCGCAGGGACTGCGGGGCTACAAGGGGGAAGAACCTTATCGCTGATGGCCGCTAGGAAAATCATCCATCACCTTGCGCCTGGTGCGGAGTCAGTGGATTCATGAGTAAGTCTTGCAGATAGACTCCGAACATCACATGTTGTCGAGAAGTGTCCGGCATGCTAACTCAGAACAATGTGGTAGATACGACCCTACAATCGGTATACCCTCCTCGCTGGTCTTGCTCTGCGCTATATCCAGTCTAACAATTACTGACATCGGGCGATCTGGTTGAACCGTGCAGAGGATTCATATTCGGTTACGCGCGTGGTCGATGGCGTGCCATACTTCCTATCCATCACCGACACGGCCGGCCAGGAAGAGTATCGCGGCTTATGGGCGGCTTCCAACCTGAGATCCGACGCCTTTCTTCTGGTGTACGACATCACCAACAAATCGAGCTTAGGCGCTTTGGATTACTTCATGGACATGATTGAGATCGAAACCGAACAACGCCTTGAGGACAATGATCGGTTGCGCAAGGAGTTGGGGGCCAGTGCAGATGGCCTCGATGTGGGCATGCCACCACCGGTCAAGATTGTCGCAGGGAACAAGTGCGATCTCAAGGACAACAGAGTCATTAGTTCACGGGAAGGCCTGGAGTATGCCCGAAAACACGGTTGCGGTTTCATGGAGACCAGCGCCAGGGAGATGGTCAACATCGAGGAAACCTTTGCCCGTAAGCCTCTTACCACTATCGAGCCAGGCATATACGCTTGCCAGGAGCTAACACTCTCGCAGTCCTAGTCCGTCGGGTCGTCGAGGCCCGTCGACTACACTACCAGAAGGGTCCTCCGACCAGTCAAGCCGCTCAAAGGGGCGAGCCTGCGACAGCTGCAAAATCCCCTGCTGACACGGTTGTTAGCAAGGAAGGTAAGGGAGAATCGCAGAAGCGCACACAGAAACGACAGAGTGGTCTTCGTGGGCTCTTTGGAGGTAAACGTGCACGTCAGGATCCAGGCGAGAAGGGCCATCTTCAACCAGAGGCAATAGGATCGGGGCAGAACAAGCCACCCAAGCCTGCAAAGGCAAGCATATGGAAGCGCATGAGTTGTTGTTAGGCTGCAGGTCTGCCTATCGCGGTCGTCCATCCTTCTTTGTATTAACATTTCGACATTATACCCCCTTTTGTATACTACTTACTCAGCTGATTTCAATCCCGACCGTTAACCTGTTGATGCATCCTCAAATGCAAGTTCCATCATCTACTTTATTGACGTTTAGTTTGCATAGACGGATAGATCGGCATGTTTTGAGAAAACACAAGACTGCTAGTAGAATCCGATGGCTGTCACAGGAGCAGAGCATGGATTAATTAACAATGAGGTCACCGGCGAGCTTTCTCATCAGTTGCAGGACACTAACCTGCAATCCGGGCGACAAGGGGCAGACAATGCATCGCTATATCTTATCAGCAACCTCTCACGGCACACATGGTCTCCCTGCCGCATCCCGACGGAAGTGGAAAACCGAGTGCATCCATGTCAGCACTCAGCAGCGGTAGTGGTGGGGTCAAGATTGGTAGAGCACTGCGGGATGACGCTATCATGGCTGGCGGACTTGACACTATCGCATGGTCTAGACCCGAGAGAGTAGCATGTATCAGCGATCTGTAATCGATTTTCAGTGTTTGGCTATGGACAGCATATTCTGCAATCGTCGAACCCCTGAAAGCAAGAACCAGCATCGATCGTGCTTCAGGTGCAAGGTTCAATCCAATCCCGAGTAGCATAGCCGCTTCGGGAATTAAGCGACACTCGGCATTTTCGATGGGGCACCTATTGGTACATTGTAGAAAACGGGCATGGATCAACATGAAAAAGAATAGTCCAGCGGTCATTGATCGCAGGATCAGAAACCTTATCTGCCACTCTATAGCACCCGAGGCAGTGGTGCAAGTATGAAGTCATCCCTGAGCTGAGCCAGTGGCACTTGCGGACGGGGGCACCGTACTCCGGCAACGCGAACTGGCTTCGAGAGCAATAGCCTGTTGGGCTTGATTCAATCATATCCTGTTGTCACCACAATCTAAGCTGGAGGGGAATGACAGGGGCATAATCGAATCAGACCTGCGACCGTGCAAGTGGCATGGTCCATCGGAGGGATGATCAACGTCATTGACTGTCATGTGCGGATAGCTCCAACGGCACCTCGTGGTGGAGAGGAGCTGCTACTACTACTGCTTCAAGGCAGGAAAGTAAAATTGGAAGAACAATGATTGACCGGGCTATTGAATCATCCCAAACTAAAGCTGATCACGAACAACAATCGGAACCGACGATTGGATTAACGCGGCATTCGTTCTTCCCTGCTCCATCCACCTGGCGGCCGACGGTGTGGCAAAGAAGGATTGGAATCAATCCGGTCTGCCGTTAAGCTTTCGAAGGAGAGCGCCAATCGCCAAGACTGGTGATCAACAGGTCTTGTACGACTATGGAGGGAACTAGGAGAATAGTAGCGATCAGAGATATCGGACGGGGAAAGAAATCCGTGTTTGATCGCCGAATCGGGATTTTGACGATGCACTTTGAATGGAGTCGAAGGGGGAGAGAGAGAATTGAGATGGGTTTATTGACCCTGTCAGTGTCAGGTAATGTTCACACTTCACAGTAGTCATTATGGAGCCACCACCCGATGGTCCATACACCTTTACATACCGCTCCAGAACAGTGGATTCATGGTTTCGAAAGCTAAGTAGTCTTACCCGTTCGGCATGGGTTTGCCGAGTTGGGTCAGCTTCGAAAAAGAAAAAAAAAAAAAAAAGTATTTGGTTATGGAAATATATTCAAGGTGGATATTCTTGTGCCGTAATGCCGGGCTATGCAGGCTTGGGCTGTCATTCCCACAGAATGCGGTAATTCTGCGATTTGATGCAAACCAGCTTGAGACTAGAGCTATGAATGTACCTGAACATCGGAAAAGGTACATCTTGCTTCAAAGTGAGTCTCACACATCACACGCGCTGGCACAGGTAAAACCAACTATAGCTACCTACGTTTAGTCTATATTATCTAAGTTCTCCCTCGTGATTGATTGTCCACGTATTCCCACCCCATCTTTTACTTCCTCCAAAGATCTTTTCCACACCCTACGTAGACTATAGTAGTCGAAAAGTAGGGCCTCACTAGCCAAGGCAGACACCTACGGTACATGAAGGGAAACCCCCGTAGAGTGTAGACATGGGAGGTACCTGTTCATAGTACCGATCGGATATACGGCCTGAGGTGGGCCATTGAGGTTTTTGAATCGTTTTGGGGGCCCCTCCCAACATGAGGGAAATAAAAAGGAAATATATCTCAATGAGGAAATTTCCCCAAAGCACGCAAAGCACAAAAAGGAAGTTGGCACCTCCGAGGTCCGAGTCAAGCAGTCTCCGATGCCGATTCAGGCAATCAGCACGTCCGCCTGGGCTGGTTACTTCCGTTATCCGTTCAACCTGTTCCTCCGTATCAGGTAAGATACCATACATACAAACGGCGCAGGGTTCATCCACGTATTGGTTATGACGTATGGTTACACAGTATGGAAAGCGCTACCTCAGTTCACTCAGAGGTACCAACTTATAATAGTATAGGCAAGGAATTGACACGCTGTGGCTGCTGAGGCAGGTGAAGCTTTGGAGCACCACGTTGGATCAAATCTTAAAATGCATATGTGCCTTGAATTTAACCCGGTTCATGTAGAAAGATTTTTCCGCTGTTTCCCCAAGGAAGTGGACAAGTGTGACGATAAACCAGCCAGCCAGGCAACAAGCAAAGCAAGCAGTTGGTTTAGTTCATGTAGTAGTACCAGGAAAAGTTATGAATGATACAGTGCAAGTTTTGGGGGAATGGTTAATACGATGTCAATACCGTACAGAGAAAAAGGGCCCCACTGCATAAACCTCCAGACCTCTAGTGGCCGGCCAATGATCGGCCAGCGCCGCCAGACCCGATCCATTCTGGTTCCTTTGGACTGCGTCAATAATCCCAAGGGTAAGACGGCGACCATTCCTACGTGAAGGACCGCCAACCTTACTATTATTTTTAATCAAAAAATAAAAAATTAAAAGGGAAAATAAAAAAAAAAGAAATCCATGGGGACTAGACTAATTCGAATAAATAATCATCCAGGCCCATCTGTAGTAGCAATTATTATTATTATCATCATCATCAATCATCATCACTCTGACTTTACGTCGTCCTCGTCTTACTCCTCCTCCCTTATATCTAGTTAAAAGAGCTTCGACCCTCCCGGTTTGGTCAAGCCTGGCCTTCTTCTGCCTCCCAGATATACTTCCTCTTTACCACACCATTCACTACTACTACGCACCTTGCCTTAGCCCAACCACCGGTGGATCGTTGTAACGCTATCCTGTCCTTGGAACCGTTCAACTTGATCATTAATCATTACATGCGGTTGTCTCGATCGAGCTCTCGCATTGGCTCGACCCTCTGAACCTTCTCTTGCTCATTACACCTTTTACCTTTATCCATCCGGCCTCGTTATATCATCGACCAATCTTACGTATTGTCGATCACTGATCATTGCAACACCGCACCACAGAAAAAGGTATAGGCGAGGACAAGGCATAAGAAAAGCAATAAGAAAAAGAAAGGGAAACGAAACTTCGAAAGAACAGAGAAAAAGCAAACCCGACTAGTCAACCTACAAAACTAACCACCGGAACTGGAACTCGCGCTTTCGATACTCTTTTAATTTTCACCTTTTTCTTGACTGGGGAGATACTCTTTTGATTCCTCTGGCCACATCTGCCTTTCAATACCCGCAACCAATCCTCCCTCACCTCCATAAGTATAAATATATATGCGCACAATGACGGCACGCCAATCATCACCTACATCCGACCACTCACATTCGGACGGTAATGTCCGCAAGAGGGTCTGTAAGGCATGCGATCGGTGTAGACTGAAGAAATCCAAGGTAAGCCAAGTCATGGCTCAAGCGTCAGCTTGTCCTGATGCACTGACCCGGTGCAGTGTGACGGATCCAACCCATGTGGTCGGTGCAGGACAGATAATGCCATCTGTGTCTTTGGCGAGAGGAAGAAGGCTCACGACAAAGTGTACCCCAAGGGGTGAGCTTGCACCCAGTCGACATGTTGTATCATTAGCTAACCTGGCTTACCGCCGCCTTTAGATATGTCGAGATGCTTGAACAACAACAAACGTGGCTGGTCAATGGCCTGCAAGAAATGTACCGTCGCGCCTTGGAGGGCGAAGGCTGGCCGGGAGAGCCCTTGAAATGCGAGCCCAACGGCCATCCTCTAACACACGATCTGCTTACGCGACTTGGCGCCTTGGACCAGACCAAGGGTGAGCGCTTCGAAGAGAATACTGAGGCTATGCAGCAAGATCTCTGGAGGCAGAATTCCGGACACATGCAACGCCAGGAGTCATCCGACGGTAGCTCAGAAAGTGCGCAGTCGCCTATCATGCCCTCCCGCTTCTCAGACCCGTTTGCTCGCCAGCTCTCGAGTACGCAATCCAGCTTTAGCACACTGTCTCAAACGCAAGGACCCACCATCAAATCAGAGCCTCAAATGGCACCGACGAATCCCGCCTTCGTTGCGCCCATGACTATGCAAGGCGTCGTGAATCCCCTCGCCCTCCAGACCCCGCAACAGTGGCCCAACAATAACTTTGGCGCTTTCGACGATATGGATCTAATAGGTGCATCCGATTATACGAATCTGTCCTTTGACGATCAGGTTCCCTCGCCGATGTTCAACCGTCAACTACCAATGAGCTGCATGCTTTCCTCTTCGTCGTATATGGACACCAAAGGCGACTATGAAGACATCAATCAGTTCTTGAATGCCAATGCGCCCGAGATCGCATCGACCTGAGATCGCTTCGATACGACGAGATTTAGCATATTAATGTCTCTCTTTTGTCTGACATTTGTTTTGCATACGCCGTACGACGTAACGCGTGTATTATATACATGCTACATTTCGACATTGGACTACTTTTTTGAACATATGGCAGCACTCCCCTTCCTTCAGAAGGATAATCGATGAGCTGTACAGTGTTGGATTCTTTTGGGTGACTGGCATCACATTCTTTTTTTATTCTCTTCTTGTGGGGACAGCATCCTCTACATATTATTTTGGTTTATACTTTTTTGATGATGAAGGCGCCGAGGTGTTTTGGAGTTGGAGTTTACACAAAACATTGGAAGGCTTGAACAGGCAGGGCGGTTGGTTTTCTCTTTACTTGGATGCGGATGCTTTTGCGTGGATACTTGCCGATGCTGGTTCTAGTTTTCGGATGTTCTATATGTCATTCTTATGTCCCGGACGTTGAAAATATACTATTTATTCTCCATTCTTCTTATTTACTTTGGTCTACTTCAACCTTTGTCCGAGAAGTGGCCGAACATTTGCCTAGGGCGCAAGGCGTATCGGCCAACGGAGACCGACTGCCGAGGCCAGGAACCTTCTTTTTCTGCTCGTTAAGCCCAGATGACGTTCCAACCGCTCACGAGTGACTAATGCGGTGGTGGAGGACGTCATGGATAATCAAATCCTAAAGGCCGGTGACAGCTCTACCTTATCTCCGGCCACATCTGCACTGGCTGGGCCACTAACGCGCCCCCGATGGGGATACGAGGTAGATCGTGACACGTCGAGTGAACCCTACTGCCCTCCTGCAACAATATTATCTGTGGTGGTCAAGAGGGGGAACCTGATCGCTGAACAAGAATTTCATGAACAACAAGTCTTCCTGGCCGATGGATCCCCATGAAAAAACGAAGAGGGTCCAAAAGTCTCCACCCTCGATACGACGGAGCCCAATTTGATGTTTGGGTCTGGCACGACGGAGCCCAGCCCAGCCCACACACCCGCTAGTGGAGAGCGATGAGTGGGAAGGGGGAGAGGTTTTTTTCCCATTGCTGCCTTTTCCTGTTGTTTCTTCTCTTATTTCCGTCTCTTCTTCCCTTCCATGGAGCCTTTGCCTCATCTGCCTCTGTGGATAGACAGTTGAGTGGATATTGCTGGTCAGCCACGGGCGGACCAGCACACAGGCCGAAATGCCGACCTCCCGACCGTGTGTCAGTGTGCCAGTGTCCAGGCAATAAGCATCGCTTACCTGGTTCGACATCCGAGTTCCCATCGGAATACGCCCACTCTTTGCCAGGAAGGGACTGAACCTTGATTTCCCTCCGGATTACGGAGGATTCGGCGTGATATTCTACTGGCAATGGAAGCTGTCCATCTCCTGTCGTTCCACGTGTAGAGCTACGAATTTACAAATTTTTTCCTTTTTCCCTATAATTTCTTTTCTTCACGGTCCCCATCTCCCTAATTCCGTTCCGTCTTCCTGATCCAGGTGATGGACACTGGTCCCCCAAAATGGAGAGATAGCCCCATTCATGATCCCTCTTCCCGACGGGACTGGACTGTGAGGGTTAACTGCAGTGTGTCTACAGAGTAGAGCACGGTTGATCCAGTCAGCCCCCTTTCAAGACACAAAAGCAATTGTCTTGTCTGGCAATAATCATCCAAATAATGGGAGGGCAAGTGACTCCCAAACGGGTAATGCACCCCCGGGGGCCCGTCAGTAGGTCACTGCATTACCACTACTGTGGACTAGTCAGTAGTCATCGCGGACCACCAACACACACATTCCCCAGAACATCTGCATGCAGCGCTCACATCAGGGTGTGGTAATGTTGTTGTCAAGTGGACAATGGACGCTTTGATATGGGGTTAGACGGCTCAGCCACTATACAGTACAGCCCGATCGACGGATTTCTAATCCTGAACTCATGGTGAGATCAGGATTTCCCAAAGCCACCATTGCATGCTTGTCATCACATGTCCTATTGGTGCTAAGCATTCAGTTACTTCCGGAGAACATCTCTCTCTCGGAGTTACTCTAATGGCACTGGGCCAGGCTGTCTATCAATGCATGGTATAGGGGTTCCCGGTACTTCTTAGTGTTGTGTAGTATTTATTAACATAAAGGGGTTCCTTTTAGCAATGCCGAATGCCGATGCAACGGTTCTTGCGGTTCCCGGGGGCCGCGCGATTTCTACCTAGTGCTGTGCTTCTTACGAGGTCATATGCCATATGGCATATGCCAATTCAGCCAAGTTGCAAATGGAAATGCAAGAATGGGATGAGATTAATGCCCAGCAAAAGCATTATAGCATCCATCTCAATTGCCGTGGCTAAATCGAGTACTCATCAACTACCGTATGTAGGGACGGGATTATCAAAAAGCAAAGAGCTACTATTACAAAGATAGGGCTGTCCAGGTGGCAAGAGTGCCGCCACAGTTTGGTCTTTCTCAGGGGTTAAACCCACAGAGCAGTGAAGAAAAAGATCGTCTTCAATTATAGATGAAACTTGGTTCACACTATCCCATTCTATGCCAATACATTTATTCTTGTGATTGAATAATAAAAAGAGGAAGTATCTCGTTCTCGCTTCCACAGTTTGGTTAAAAGCGCTGAATCAGCGGATTGCGGACTCGGCACGGAAGCCCCAAGCTCCGCGGAGGCCGACCCGAGGTTTCAGTTAGTAGTTACGGCTGGAATTGATTAGTTGAGTGACCGTAAGTTCAATTGACTGATGGAACCTTCTTGTCAGCTTCGGAGCGGTTGTTCGCCTTAACTCCACGTTTCGGACCTGCGTGTATTGTCATCCCGACACTAGTAGTAGTTGGCAGTATGTTGTGGTATGACATGACATACGGTTATTTACGGTCTGTCTCATTGTTTTGTCTGTATTTAATCCATCTCGTAACCTAATCCCACCTACGGCCCTCCCACTGAGTTAGTTCTTTTGTTCTTTTACTATCAAGTAACCATCAACTTAGGTTATAGTATTAAGGATTTAGGAGCTTGGTCCCTGCAGCCGTTCAACGGTCAAATTGGCGCATCTCGCAAGCCCTTCGGAATGAGTCATTATTGTGTCAGATAATTAACTAACCATCCATAATTTTGCGGGGACCCTTGGGAAGTGAGCGTGCACTGTAGTCTAGTGACTGGGTTGGTAGCTTGCTATTTCTTGTTCGATGTAGGACCCCGGATATTGCCTGTGGATGGGAGTGAGGGAGAGAGTGGGATGCCGACTACTAGTTAGCTAACTCTCGATCCATCCCACGCTGCTCCTCTTATAGCGTAAGCAGTATCCCGCCGGAAGGAATGGCAGGTAGTCAAGCCAAGGGACTAGTTTGATCATGATGTCTAAAACAAAACCTTAGTATAAAGTTTTAAACTACTAATATGATGAAGTTCCGACCAGCCACAGTTTATTCTGAAGCATATCCAGTCCAAGCTATGGATAGCTATGATCGAACTCCTTACTCTACTGACATGGCGGCATCTATCTGCCTGAGGCACAAAACATCCGGAAGATTACCCGATTCGGCAAATCCACCACATGCTACGACGTGCGGTTTAGCCTAATATGCGAGAAGAACAAGGCACAAGATGGCATTCAGGCATGGGGATCCTGGAAATTTAACCGAGTTTAAATGAGCCTCGCAGTAAGAAGGGTCTATCTATCTTATCTTTGCACCAATCCAAGTGATTGAAGCACGTAAGCTCTTTAGCGTGAGCCTCTGTCGTATTGGTCGCGATTTCTCCAGTTGGAGCAGAATTGCGGGGTAGCGGGCGGAAAGTGAGTGACCACCCCTCTTCATATATCGACTACTGTCTTACTTTTTTTCCATCAAAAGTTTCAATTGCCCCTCACTAGACACGCCCAACTCACTAGAAAGATCAGAGATACAGCAAGAATTCAGCGCACTCAGTCAAAATGGGCGACAAAACCTCCGCCAAGTTCCTCTCCCTCGGCGCCATCATCCAGGAATTCAACGTGGACGGACAAAACATTGTTCAGGGTTTCGTCACGAAAGAAGACTACGAGAAGCACAACTCCCCCTGGTTCGGCGCGAATATCGGGCGTGTTGCCAACCGCATCAAAGACGGTGTTATTCAGAACCTCAACGGACAGTCGTATCAACTCGAATTGAACGACCCTCCCAATGCGCTGCACGGCGGTAGCCGCGGATGGGGTCGCTGCGAATTCGATGGTCCAACGGTGTTGAACCGCGATGGGAAGATTACCCTGCTGTATACGTATCTGAGCCGTGACGGGGAGGCAGGATACCCGGGCACGGTGGAGTTCAGGGTCTACTATACCACGAGTGAGGAGGTGGAGAATGGCAAGACTACGTCGGTGCTGAAGATTGAATATGAGGCTGAGTTGGTGGGCGATGAGTGCAATGAGACGGTTGTTAACTTGACCAACCACAGGTATGTCTGCTCTTTCTTCTTTTTCACTGCATCGGTTGGGCGATAAAATATTGACCGTCCGAACAGCTACTTCAACCTCAACGGCGGCCCAACCACCGAAGGCACCATCAGTAAATTATCAACACAGGACTACCTACCACTAGAGAACGGCATCCCACTGGGCCCCATCAAGCCCTACCCCAGCGAAGTCACCAAGGAATTCACCTTCGGCCCGCAGAACCAGTTCGACGATGTTTTCGTCATGGACCGCGACCTGTCCCGCATTCCCCTCGATACGCGGGGTGAGCCCCTCCGCCTGCTGGCCGAGTTCCACCACTCAGACACGCGCCTGCACCTGCAAGTGCACAGCACAGAGCCGGCATTCCAATTCTACACGGGCCAAGGCATCGATGTACCCGAAACAGACGGGAAGCCGAGTCGGGGCCCATTTGCGGGGTTCTGCATCGAGCCCAGTCGGTTTGTCAATGCGGTCAATGAGCCCGGATGGCGGCACACGGTCGTTCTCCCGAAGGGAAAGAAGTACGGTAGTACCATCGTGTATAAGGCCTGGAGGGAGTGAACCAAAACAGAACCAGAATTACAACGAGGACCCGAGGTAAACTGCCGGGAAAGAGTCATGCCACAGTGAATCAATAAACGGCCGGTCGGTGGAGAGAATGGTTAGTGCCTAGGCTCGGCATGGGCATGGATGTACGTCGCCGAGGCAGGGACATCCATTCTCTATCTAGAACTACGGAATTCTCCGTCTTTAATTCCGCGGATCACTAGCCATGAAAATTTTTGACATTATTCATATTTTCTTTTTGATCTGAAAAAAATGTCTTGGCAATCATCCGATTATCCATAGCATCACATGATCACAGCGTGCCGATTTATCCTTATCACCCGTGATATGTATCCGAAGCGGGTCTAGTAAGCAAGAGCAAAGCCCAGATTGAAACGAAACGGGCTTATGGAGGAGATCCACCTGAAGCAGAAGACAAACAGTGTGGATTGTGGTGTTTCTATGGAATGAAAAAGCCTCAGGTGGGTGGATATTTTGCATGTGGAGATCCACACCCATTACCAGATCGGGCCTTGTCAGACTAAACTAGCAACAATCAATCAATTCATTTTCCGCGCACTGTACAGATGGAGCCAACCGACCTAACCAAAGACCTCTCCTAGTTAAGGTGCGGGTATACAGGCACCGGGATTGGACCGTTATATCCGCAATATCCGCAGTGGTTCTTGCCTCTCCGTGTGAATGTGTGTAGACTATGACTAGTTAGTATGTAGTTAGTTTGAGCAAAGAAAAGTCTCCGTGCTGCTAGCCTGCTACATTGACTCACTAGTGAAGAAAGTAAAAAAAAAAAAAAAGTCTCCGTCCCGGGGACTGGAAGTTTCCATGGGCTGGCTGAGGGGGGTTAGTTACTAATGATGATAATGCATTAATCAGCATTGGCGGCAGCTTGAGTTTCAGCCAAGCAAGCTATTCAGGGAAAGAATTAAACTTGTTTACTACTGAAATGTGGCTTGGTAAGAGGTATAGTATAGTGTTGATTGAGTTGGGATCATCTGGAAATTCACTCATCGTGGGTTTATGTATGTATGTGCGGGATACGTGTGGTTCCTGATTACTATTTGCCAAGCGTTTCTGGAATCCCGCTATTTGGTTCTAGCGTTTGATATACACAGTAATCAATCAGTCTTCTATATTGGGGAGTGTCGGATGGTATTAAGATACCGGAAATAACTCTGAGGGAAGGTTAGGGGGGATGGAGGGGGATCAATTTAGCTCGATCAGGTATGTTATACAATGTGTGCGTGTATAGTATAAGATTCATCTAGGTCTACCTACATGCATATATCTTAGGGTACAGTTAGTAGAGTTAAGCAGACTGCATAACTTGTGCATAATTACATCATGTATCCGTTTCCAACCCCAAACCCGGTAAATACGGTATGTTTGTATGAGTAATATATACAGTATCAAAACACCGCGGAAATGTTTCGTATACTGTAATAATACCAGGGCTTCTCACTCTCGCTCGCTCTCGGGCACCGACAGTAGATTTCCGGTGAAGCTTGGCATGGTGATCATAGTTGTTTACGGGCTAGAATGGGGGAGGGAGGGGAATATATAATGCATATTATAGGGAGGATTAAGTTTATGCTGGATTTAATGTTGGTGTGTGGACGGATACTGTGATTATTTTGTAAGTAGTTGACCATTCCCCTATTGACTACTATAACTATAGTAGGAGAAAAGTATTCATTCTATGAGTAGGATGGATCTCATATAGGTGAAGTACTTAAGTATGAAGAATTTCTCCAATTTTTTTTTTTTTTTACAGAATTCCCCGTGCATGCCCCATCCCGTTCTTTGTTGTAGTAG